AGATTGAAAATTCTATGAAAATCTTTAAGACAAAACAGTCTGTACTCAGAGCTTTAGTAAACACATACCATAAGGCACTTAAATGATACAATTATGATTGAGTTCGTAACTATAAAATAAACTTTTCACTTTGCAAAAAGATAGCAGGTCACATTATTGTGTGTCCAAAGGCTGTTTACCTATCTGACCGTAACACTGTACAACCTAAAGTCAGTGACTACAGAGTGTACATAATGGAGATAAAAATACCGTACACAAAGGCACGAAAGAATAAAACCAAACGCTAATGTAACAGTTGGAAAATGACGGAATGAAAATATACATTAAAAAACACACTCAAGCTACTAGGAAACCAGCCTGTCCCCGTTTGCCCGCATTCCTGCCAGGATTCGGCCTTGGCACGCTTAACTCCCTCATGTTTGAAGGCATCAAACGTAAATGAGGAAGACATTTTCAATTAGGGGACAAAGGTAGACTATGAAAACATGTTTGGTCGTCTATATATTTAAAAGCAAAGGAGGGGATTATAATAAAGTCATATTTATAAACCTAGCTCTTTGAAAGACAGGTCCAGGCAAGCGTAAGAGAACAAAGAGGTTCGGGGCTTTTGAAGCAGGAAGCTGTTAAGGGACTGTACTTTGAACCAAAAATTATCCTAAGTGAAGAAATATAGCCCCTGGCTGTGGAGCTGAGATTCAGAACTGGCCAGGCTCCTCCACGTCTGCATCGTAACCAAGCGGCTGAGCACAGAAACAAGGTGGAAGTCAACAGGCAGGGACTTTCTTTAGGAACACTTCCCAAATCGGCATTTCTGTTCTCCAGGTTCACTGCTCCCTCCCCATGGGAGGAGCATCTTCCGACCGCCAGCTCTTGCATTCCGGCGCCACGGCACAAGCGCAAGTTGAGACACCACATCATCAGTGCGAAGCGTTCGCACCGACATTAAATATGAAGCAACCCTCCACATCCTCCTGCACCCTGTGGGGAATTCCCTCTTCTCTCCGTCTGTGGTCTTATTCAAATCCAGTGGGAGAGAGGATGCTCGCGACAGCCCACGAGATGGAGCCCCCGTCCGCTGGCCCCGAGGCACCCAGATCCCGTCACTCTTGTGACCGTCACACTTGGATCGACCCAGCATCTCTGGCGGCTTCCACGCAGGGGTGTGGGCTGCTTGGATCGCAAGCTCAAGCTGGAACCACACAGTTGGCCACGACGCGAAGTCTTCCCAAAGATTTCCCAATGCTAAGGTCCTTAAGGTGCCAGCACCAATGTAGGTGCAAGGGTTTGACAATAATGGGGGGCCTTTCGGTTGGCACACCGTGGAACAGAAGTTGCTTTCCCGGCTGGCAAACTGGGGTCTCTGAACTTCAGCCTGACTGGTCGGCTTCGGTCTAGGAAGCCCCAAGGATGGGTCATGCCCCGCACAGACTAGACCTGGGGGTTGACGCACATTTCCCAAGAGTTTCTTCTGTACACAGAAGGATGGAAATGCTAACAGAGGCGTTCATTTTAAACATGTTAAACGTTTTCAGCAGTCAAGGCTGCCAGTTTGTCCATTTCTCTTGGCTGAACCAAAGAATTTGAATCATTAAATCATGCATGAGTGACTCTGGTCAGTTAAAAAAAAAAAGATCATGTCACTCCAGTTTGCCTGTTACAGAGGAAAATAAATGCGGAAAGATCGCAATTGTGTTCCCATTTATTATTCAGAAAGGGCTAAATGGACACCGGAAAGTATTTATCTGATGACTCCCTATCATGACCTTTTATTGTTTACAAATAGTATGAATTACTTTAATATTCAGAAAAAAGACCCTATATTTGGAAGATAAGAGTGACATTATGTACATTATTTTTATTATTATTTTTTAATAGACTTTATTCTTTTAGAGCAGTTTCAGGTTCACAACAGAATTGAGCAGAATATACACATTATTTTTACTTATTTTTTTAGTGGGGAGGTAATGAGGTTACTTATTTTAATGGACGGGCTGGGGACTGAACCCAGGACCTCGTGCCTGCTAAGCAAGCACTCTTCCACTGAGCTCTCTATCCTCCCCAATTTAATTTATTCTTATTTATTTATCATTAGTGGGGAGTACACATTATTAATATGAATGCTAATTTGTAACACATTTTTGGCAGCAACTGGAAAACCTGTGTAAACAAATAAATGGGCTTAAATCTGCTAACTCATGGTGATTCTACTCTGGAAAACTTATTCTAAGGAAATAGACCTAAATTTCCATGCAAAATGTTGATTTGTGTGTGTGTGGTTTTTTTTAAATAATGGCAAAACGCTGCCCAGCTGTCCAACATGTTTATTCTTGAGTTAAAGGAAGCAGTGGACGGGCTGTCTGATTCAGTGTAAGGCAAGTCCGTCCTGAGCTCTATTCCAGGGTTAATGACTAAAAGAATCAAAAGAAAACGTTACGAAGAGCTGTTTCTCTGAGGCTTTCTCCTGCCACGTGCCCAACAGGCGACAGTGGCATTTACGTGAAATATAGGGTAATGGGCAGAACGGCTTAGCCTTGGTTTCTTGCCTGGACAAAGAAATGGCCTTCAGTTTCATCTTTATACCAAATATCTCATGTGATGTAATATAAAGCCACGAGAAAATGGAAATGTGAGGCCACGGAATCTGCGATACTAAAAAGTAAAAACCACGAACTAGTTACAGTTAGGCAGACAGAAGACAACACTGTTACGAGCAAGCATTCTTGACTCAGCCAGGGGCAAGATTTTCTCGGCCACCTCCCCCCTATGTGACACGGAATGACCTTTCTTGCGGGCTGCACCATGCTCCCCTCAAAGGCAGACTTGTGAGAGCAATCCTGGCCCCCCCCCCCCGGAACTGTTCTGAGGGTTGAATGAATAGAAAAGCTTCGAACTTCCCTCCGTACAGCTAGCAGCTGAGAACCGTGCCTGTAGTTCAACGTCAGATTCATCTGGACAGACGTTATGAGACCTCTGTGGACGTGCACTTGCCCTAAGGATCCGCCAGTCGACTTGCTCAAATACTTGGCGTTCAAACAGTTACTTTGTCTCAAGAATAGTTACCAGATCAGGAGAGAGAAAAAAGGAGCATTTGCACTGGAAGAATTTCATGAAAATATGCATTTAGGATGAGATGCTTAAGGAATTTATTCAAAGAGAAATTTAACATCGCTTTAGGGCCATGCATTTGGAACCCAGGGATTTGGGCTACCATTTGCAAATCCACCGAACCAAGACCACAAAGCGTTCTGTCTTCAAATGTTACTATGAAGGTTCATAAATGCACAGAAAAGCGGAAAGAACATCCTTAGAGGACCATTTTACTACGTTCATTTTATCACATATCCATCCATCTGTTTGTTTTCCCATTGCGTTATAGTCAGTTTCCAATGTTGGGTCAGTTTCCAGCGTCGAGCACAATTTTTCAGCCATACATGAAAACATATATATTCATTGTCACATTCTTTTTCACCGTGAGCTACCACAAGATCTTGTATATATTTCCCTATGCGCTACAGGATAATCTTGTTCATCAATTCTACACATGCCCATCAGTATCCAGAACGTTTTCTTTATCTTTAACTCTGGCCATGTTAATTGTAACGTGTCTCGGCATAGGTCTTCTGGAATTCTTGGTTGGGACCCTCTGTGCTTCCTGTACTTGGACACCTGTTGTCTTCCTTACACTGGAGAAACGTGCAGGCATGATTTCTTCAAATATCTTTTCAAGCTCCTTTTCTTTTTCCAGCCCCTTCTGCCTACGGTACGCAGGCCCGTATTAGTGTCAACCCGCCCCTGCCATGCAGCAGGGGTCCATTCGTTCGCCTTAGAGGCGTGGGTCCACAGAGGCCCCAGCGGAGCCAACCCTTCCCCTCTGCTTGGGGCTGTGATGCTGTGGGACCCCTCGGTATGGATTCAGGTTTCAGCCCACCTCTGCCCTGGTGACGCGCACCAGGGGATGTGTCCCTCCCGAGCAAGCCAAGATGGCCATGCCTGAACTTGGCCTCTCTTCTCAGGAGAACGTGCTGAGCTAGATGCTCTGGGCCAGCAGAGATACTGGCTATGGCCCGGCTGCATTGCACCCTTCGCCCCACCCCCGGCAAATCAACACAGGTGGTTTCTGTGGGGCTTCCAGGCTGTTCTGTGGTGCCACAGCCCGCACCACACTCCAGCGCCCTGAGGCTCCTCTGTGCAGTCAGCTCCAGGCCTCTCCCTGGCCCGCCCACTGATGCTCCAGCAACCAGCCCTGGCCCAGCCCTGCTGGCTCGGGTTTCGGGCCAAGGACCCCTGTGCTGGTTTCTCTCAGTTCTGTCTGCCAAGTCTGCTACTTTCTCCTCTGAGCCTCGGAAGCTCCCTTCCTCTCCCCACTGGAGAGACGGTGTCCCAGAGAGACACCTTGCTGCTCCCTCCCCACAGGGGAGGGGACAGGGACACATCCTGCATCAATTTCGTTTTTCACCCCCCATTTTGGCAAGGAATCTTCTCGTATTTCCCAAGTAAGAGATATTCTCCCAAAGTTCAGGACGCATTCTGCGTAAATTGTTCGGGACGTAGGTGTAATTTTTGTT